ATGCGTCAAAATTAATTGGCTGCGTGAGGGCTTCTCTCCAAATAAATCCTCCAGGCTTGCGTGTTTTATACGGGACCGCGTGAATAATTTCTCTCTTCAATTTTAATTATGTGTCCAGCAAATCAAAAATTGACCAACTAAAAGTATCTAGCCTTTCAATTCCTCTCTCAGCCCATTTTTTAATTTCCAAGTGCGTGAGTTTCCCCACTAATTGAAATCAATATTGGGCCTTTGTATAATTTGGGCTTGTATATGCATGAACTTTATGGGCTCTGTTGGATGTCTGAGTACGGGGTGCTGTTGGGTCAGTACGGGACACCCCCGTACTCTGCTGGAAAAACTTCTTCATCCTTCTTCGTGCATCCACACATCTTCGTGCAATCAGAAATAGTCCCAAAAATACTGAAAATAAATAATAAAATATCAAAGTACACGAATTCATCCAAATAATAAATAAGTCAAAAAATATATAAGTGCGATAAAATTAAGCATATAAAAATACGCTAATAAAAATATAAAAGACACACTTTTTCCGACCAATCAATGTCACCATTCATCATATAAAAATCTTTGGAACAAAATAATAAAAATAATAAAAATCATCCTTTTTTATTACTTATGCATTTTCTTTCCAAATGGCTGATTTTTAAAACTCTTTTACTGAAAAGTAATGCTCATATATGGTCTTGGATCATGCTAATAAACCGAGAATAATACAATTTACGGAACTCAATTCGTACTTAAAACGAACGTTTACCGTAAAACTGAAAATTCTAAAATTTAATCCTTTACTCACAGTTTTTCTTCAATTTAATAAACATATTGCTTCTTAGGATCTAATATAATTATCTTGAAATATTCTACATTTACGGAACCACATTTAGACTTAAACCGAACGATTACCGTTAAACCAAAATTTCTAAGAATTTCGGTTTCTCTTAAAATAATTTAAATAGACTATAATGTCTAAATAAATTTTCTCACTTCTTTGAACATTTATCACTTAAATGTTCATGGATACTTAACCGCACTTCGAGACTTAACTTGTATCAACTTATGCTAAAGCTCAATATTATGATCTTATCTTGATGACTTGAACACTTAGAAAAATTCTAAGTATTTAGTACTAAGGCTCGGCTATTTCTTAATTAAGTTCAACTCATGACCGAACATACTTGAGTTCAGTTCACTACATATCTTAAACGAGTAATCAAAATATACTCAATTTCGATTATTCGTTATCTTATATTAATTAATCCGGTCTAATAAATCTATTTATAAAAATAAACAGACCGTACCGGAATTAATTAATTACTGAACTGGCTCGATTACTGAATAAAATTTAACCGAGAATACTTTCGACTTAAAGTCGAACTTTTAACTGAATAACTTAATAACTGGCTCGGAACTAGGAACGAGTATTGTTAATAAAAGTATTTAGTTCAAGTTAGAATAATTACTTTTATTAATTAGTGAATGTGAAATTACAATTGCCTTGACTATTGCATAAGCCCTAGCCAATCAGCATTCCTGCATGATAGACAGATGCTTGACAATGTCATCATTGCACATGAGGCATTCCATTTCTTATCCAGGCACAGAACAGGGAAAAACTATTTCATGGCTCTAAAATTGGATCTTATGAAAGCCTTTGATACTGTTGAATGGAGTAGTTTGCACAACATTATGATACAGATGGGTTTTTACAGGAAGTTTGTGAAGTTAATCATGGCCTGCCTAACATTGACTTCTATCTCTTTCAATGTTAATGGAAAAGTGGGTGGTCTTGTTTATCCTTCTAGAGGTATCTGTCAAGGGGATCCCCTGTCCCCATACTTATTCATCATTGTGGCAGAAATGCTTTCAGTTCTAATCCAAAATGCAGTGCACAATGGAAGGTTGACAGGCTTAAAGCTGGCTAGAAATGGCCCATCTATCTCCCATCTAATGTTTGTTGATGATATTATTCTTTTTGGGAAGGCAGGGGTGAATCCGTCTCAAGTTCTTACTGAATTGCTGGAACAATATAGACTCTTTACATGACAGAGAGTTAATATGACAAAATCATCTGCTTTCTTAAGCAAAAACTCCCTAACTCACTTGCAAAATAGTATCTGCCATTCTCTGGGGGATATCAAAGTTCACAACTCAACTAGGTAGCTTGGCTTGCCACTTGGACTCAGTAGATCCAAAAAAGATGCTTTTGCTTATGTTGTGGAGGCAATTAGGGCAATGCTTACCAGTTGGAAAAACAAAACCCTAGCTAATGCAGGCAATGAGGTTTTAATAAGAGCAGTTTTGAATGCTCTCCCAGTGTTCACTATGGCATGTTTTAGAATTCCATCATTTGTTGGGAAAGAGATTTCTCAACTATGTGCCCAATTTTGGTGGAGTAAAGGGGAGAATCAGGACAGAGGCATCCACTGGAAAGCTTGGAACAAACTCACAATTCCAAAAAGAGAAGGAGGGTTGGGGTTTCAGGATGTGTTGCTATTTAATAAGGCTCTAATATGCAAGCAGCTCTGGAGAAATTCCGCTCAACCAGAGCTCTTAGTCAGTAAAGTCCTAAAAAGCAGATACTTCCCATCTTGCTCTATCTTTGAGGCAGTCTAAACCCAGCACAGCTCATGGCTTTGGAAAGGATGTCTTGACACTATACCAGTGTTGGCAGCTGGCTTTAGCACTGAAGTTAGAAATGGCTCAACCACTAGAATTGATGACATAAATTGGGTTCCTCATCTCCCAAAACTCAGGCCTACCTTAATTGATATTGCAAGAGGCCATCTTATATATGTGAAGGACTTGTTGAATGCTGATGGCAGGAGCTGGAACACATGGCTGGTCAATCAGGTCTTTGATGAGGCTGACAGTAGGGCCATCTTGAATATCTCAACTCTCAATCCAAACAGGCAGGATAGATTGTTTTGGAGCCTTGACAAAAAAGGGATATTCACAGTGTCATCCACATATTCCCACTTGATCTCTAGAAAAGTCTTGGCCCTTGATTTACCTGAAGGCAGCAGCAATTCCAAACTCATAAGAGAGGTCAGAGATAAAACATGGAAGTTGAAAGTCAATGGGAAGATCAAGCATTTTATATGGAAATGCTGTTCTGGCACTCTTCCTGTTATAGTGAATTTGAAAGCTAAAGAGCTACAGATTGATGTCCTATGCAGAAGCTGCGGTGATAGCCCTGAAACCATTGAGCACACTTTCTTCTTCTGTGACAAAGCTAGGAAGCTCTGGCAGATAGGCCCTATTCAATGGAATGGTGTGAGTGACCCAGACATAAGTTTCTGCTCTTGGTGGAGACAAATTTGTGCCATAGGGAAGCTTGATGTTGCTGAGGAGAGGATCCAATTGACCACATATCTTCTATGGTGGCTTTGACGCTCCAGGAATCTTTGGCTGTTTGAAGACAAAAATGTTCCAGTGCATGTTCTTACCAAATGTGCAATCTCTGAATGGCAAGAATTTTCCAAGTTGTAGCTCCCTTTCAGTTTGCTGGTTTCTGTACTTTGTTTAAATCAATGTATGTTTGTTTTTCTTTAGTTTCTTTTTTCTAGGATTTCAGAATGGGGTCGAAGCTAGGCTTATGCAGTGGTTTAGACTCCATCTCTATTTTATTGGCTGCTTGTTGATTAGGTTCATACCCGCATGTGGGTCTCTAGGCCGCTTTTTAGCGAGTCCTCTCATTTTATGTTCCTATTCGGCTAGTCCGTACTCTGTATTCGATCTTTGGTCCCTTTGAGTGGCTATAGAATCCTCTATCGTTTCGACAAAAAAATAAATAAATAAATAAATAAAAACAGTATGCAACTATAAATTTTTATGATAAAAATAGTATATTGTGTTAACTAATGTTAAATTTTTGTTATTATAATATATGTTTTTTTTTTCCTTAAGAGAATGACAAGAATATATTATCGTTACATAATCATTGCCATAGATAAGGTTCAATACGGAGTAGTATAATACATTTACCTTTTTCATGTCATGTATCATAAATGTATCAAAATAAATTTTACATTTTTATAATTTATATAATATAATTTAAATGTCTTTGTTTTTTTGAAATTCTATCAATGTACATTTCTAAAAATTATATCAAACTATATTTTGCATAAATTTACTTGCAAAAAATAAGTAATTTGTTTTTCACATGGACATTAACGATTATTGTGCCTATTTAGATCTTTACAAAAGATGATCCATCTTGCACGTCATTGTAATCACCTTCGGACTTATTTTGCAAATAATGAAATTGAAATTTATTTTTACATTTCAAAATGTGAAAAATATTTCCACTTAATTTGAAATTAAATGCATGAGGTTTGAAATTGAGTCATTTTAGTGGTTTTTCACTGAGTATTTAATTTAATTTATATATATTATTTTGATTTTAATTGGCTCATATTTGTACATATTTATTTCAAACATTCTATACCAGTTTATCTATATAATAGTAATAATACCTTTAGTTATTTAAAAATAATTAATATTATGTCATTATCAAGACAATTTTAGGAAAAAATTGTAAGGAGTGTCATTAATGGGATAAATACCAATTTTCATCGAATATATAAAAAAAATTAAATTTATTAAATTTGAATTTTTTTTCATGAAAAACAACATATGATTTTTTGTAGTCACATTCAATTATATGTTGTTGTTTCTAGAGTCAAGGATATCTATTGACTGATGGTTATTATTTATGATGATAATGAATATAGTTCGTGCACTACTAATGTTATATTTAGGCAAACATTTTAAAATATAATAAATAAATTTTCATCTTACTTTTTATTATCTATAAACATATTTTATAAATATTTAAATTTATTTAAATTATAATTCATTCACATCATTTTTAATATCATGCCGTGCAACGTGCGAGCGAAGTACTGGTATATAAAAAATAAACCGACTGTACTTTTATCAAAGTTAAAACATTATAAAAGCCCAATAAACAGAACCTATTTGCGGGCTTCAGTTGTAATTCATATCCAGGCCCAGTTGATCGTCTGCATTATAATTAGAAGAACCAAACGATGCCCTAGACTATAAATAAATCCGAACCGAACGCTGAAAAGAGAACTTGGACGCTGGTAGGGTTGACAACTGAGAGAACATTTAGGTTACGGAGAAGCAAGAATGTTGCTGCTGTTTGAAACTCCGGCTGGCTTTGCCCTTTTCAAAGTCTTGGATGAAGGAAAACTGTCCAAAGTCGAGGTGCTTTTTTTTTTTATGTGCGTGTGTTCTTTTTTCTCTAGTTTTTTCTTGATTCTGGTCTTTTAATCATATTTGTTGTTGTTGTTATTTTTTTTTTTATTTTTTTTTTTTCTGGTATTGCAGGACCTTGGGAAGGACTTCTCCACCCCGGACTCTGCCAGACAGGTCTGCCGTTTGAATTTGTTTTTTCTTATTTCATGCTGTATCCGCTTTTGAGTTTATATATATGTATATATGTGGGTGTGTGTGTGTGTTACTGTATGTGATTGAGGATAGCGGAATGAGTTGATACTCTGGTTCCAGTTGGGTTGTGGAGGTGATCTTTTAACATTGAAGGTCATGTACTGACTGATGTTGACTTAGTGTAGGTCATCCGTGATTTAAAATCTATGCCATGAAGTAATTTGTTCAATTTACACAGGACCTCCTTAAAAGTGTGGACTCAACTTCTACTGTTAGTGTGTTTGTGAGTGTTAGGGTGTTGTTAAACTCTCACCCTGAAAACAGCGTAAAAGTCATAATAACATTGTCCTCATGTTGTTTTCCATCAAAATGTGCATCTATGTAGGTCTTTCATCATTTAGTATAAATATATGAATCTTATCGATTTTTTACCAGTCACTGCTCTTGGTGTAATCATTACTTAAGCTATTTGGATGTGATATGCCATGTTTTTTAGATTAATCTTGGTTCTTTGAGTATGATGGCTAAGTTATGTGTTTCAGTTGATTGATCGAATAATCAATATTATTGTGTTTCACGATTAGGTTGTCAAGCTTAAAGCATTTTCCAAGTTTGAGAACACGTCCGAGGCTTTATCTGCTGCCACTTTATTAATTGATAGCAAACCCAGCAAAGGTCTTCGCAAATTCTTGCGCAGCCATTGTGATGGTGACATCTTAGCTGTTGCCGACTCCAAGCTCGGTAACACAATTAAAGAGAAGCTGGTGAGTTAGGTCTGTCATATAAATTATATCCTACAATGCTGATCTGTCTTTTGTCGCAAACTGATTATATTTATGCAATGTAGCAAATAGAATGTGTTCACAACAATGCTGTCATGGAACTTATGAGGGGAGTGAGGAGTCAATTGTCTGAACTTATATCTGGTCTGGCTTCTCAAGATTTGGCGCCAATGAGCCTGGGTTTATCTCACAGTTTGTCAAGATACAAATTGAAATTCAGTCCAGACAAGGTGATTCTCTAGTAATTTATTTTTTATAATTTTTGTATGCCATTGAATGTATCTCCTCATGTTCCTTTGGAAATTCCTGTGGATGAACTATGAAATGGACTTTGATCCTTGATGATCAGTAATAGAAAATTAAGTTCTTGATAAGAAAATTAAATTCTGCTTTGGACAATTTAGATATCAGTTTCCTTAGATGCATTAAGGATATATTCTTACGTAACGAGAATTAGGGTAATAGAACTTCATTTAACAGCTTCAATTACTTTACAAATGTGGATGCCTTGCGTCATAATTGAAGCTAAAAGATTTACAATCTATGATGGCATTTAGGAGTATCCAAATTGGTGGTTGGTGCTCGGTGGCTGTGTTAGCTTTGGCGTCTGTTCTGTTGTCTGCCTCTTGCAAATGTTCTGACTTATTCTTGTTTAACTGAAGTTGATTAAATCATGTTCCTGAAAAGGATTAGAGGAAAAAGGCTAAAGAAGATAATAGGAAATCGAGAGACACTTTATGAGTTTCACATGATGAAGTGATTTGAACCTTGGAAGCTATAAGCCATAATATCACCCTGTTTAAATCTGAAATGTTGATATTCTGTAAATATTTCCTTTTCTCTGCTCCCTGGCTGCATTTGAAGTACATAAAACATGGGGTGGCATGGTGTTTACATTGCTGTAATTGTGACTTTTAATGGCTGTTATTCTAGGTCGATACCATGATAATACAAGCTATTAGCTTGTTGGATGACCTTGATAAGGAGCTGAATACATATGCAATGAGGGTTAGGGAATGGTATGGTTGGCATTTCCCTGAACTTGCAAAGATCATACAAGACAATATCATGTATGCCAAGACTGTGAAGTTGATGGGTAATCGAACAAATGCTGCCAAGCTTGATTTTTCAGAGGTAAATTATTCATGTCTTCTTCCACATGTCTGTAAGTAATTGGGTACAACAAATACAGTGATAATAACTAATTGATTTAGTTTTACAAAGCCAAGAAGTAAATAATTGCAGAGGTACTGAGCGACACATCTGGAGTAATCACCTGTGCTCTTGTTTTTGTACATGATAAATTCAGTTCAGAGATATTAGTATTTGTTTTCTTTAGGAAAGCATCACACACACGAAAGATGTGCTACTGAAATCAAACCAAATACCCATGAAAATCTTAATTCATATTGGAAGCACCTGGATTGCTATCTGAAATGCTCTAATGTATACCCCAGCCAATCTTTGCTTATTAACAATTTTGTTTGATAATGCTTGGTCTCCGTTTGATCTGTGTGCCAGTGTACAAATTTTAAAAAGATTATCTTCCCAGACTTCATTTCTTTCCTTGTGTGACTTCAATTTTGTTTCATTTTTGTGCTCAAACCCGCTCTAAAATGTTGCAGGTGCTTCAGGAGGAGGTCGAGGCAGAACTGAAAGAGGCGGCCATGATTTCCATGGGAACTGAAGTTAGCGAGCTTGACTTGGAGAACATAAAAGACTTGTGCAACCAAGTTCTCTCCCTCTCTGAGTACAGGGCACAACTCTATGACTACTTGAAGAGCAGAATGAACACCATTGCCCCAAATCTGACTGCTCTTGTTGGGGAACTCGTTGGTGCTCGACTAATTGCCCATGGAGGTAGCTTATTGAATCTGGCCAAGCAGCCTGGAAGCACTGTCCAGATTCTCGGTGCTGAGAAGGCTCTTTTCAGAGCACTCAAGACAAAGCATGCTACCCCTAAATATGGACTCATATATCACGCGTCCTTGATTGGTCAGGCAGCACCAAAGCATAAGGGTAAAATTTCAAGGTCTTTGGCTGCAAAGGCTGCTCTAGCAATTAGATGTGATGCGCTTGGTGACGGTGAGGATAATTCTATGGGTCTGGAGAATAGAGCTAAAGTAATTCCTCTTGTGATCTGTAAATATTTCATTCAATTATTTTATTTTTATTTTACTACTAATTATTATTAATTTAACATTTAGCTTGAGGCGCGACTGAGGAACTTAGAAGGTAAAGAGCTGAGTCGTTCTGCTGGGTCCGTTAAAGGCAAACCGAAGATTGAGTTTTACGACAAGGACAGAAAGAAAGGATCTGGGGGAATGATTACTCCAGCCAAGGTTCGTATTCTAGTTCAGAAGATTATGTATTTTAAAGTATTCCGAACTTTAATTTTTTTTTTTTCTTTTTCAGACTTACAATCCAGCAGCCGACGCACTTCTAGGACTCACAGAATCGCTTTCTAAAGAGGACGAGGATGACAAGGCTGAGCTTGAGCAGGCTGTGATTGATGTGCCCATTTTGGATGAGGAAAAGAGCAAGAAACGAAAGAAGAAGAAAGACTCGGGAGATGGTGATGGTGATGGTGCGGTACAGCCTGAAAATGAAGCTGTCAGGGAGAAGAAGAAGAAGAAGAAGAGAAAACAATCTGAGCCAGAAACTGATGACGGCAGTGTTGATGCAGGCGAGAAGAAGAAAAAAAAGAGGAAACATGCAGAGGAAGAAGGTGCAGAGACCCCTAAGAAGAAGGAGAAGAAGAAGAAGAAAAGGCAAGAGTGAATTGGCTCTGTAACATGCATGGCAAATGTGCCCTGACAATTTTGTTTATCGAGCGAACCATCTGAAGTCACGAATGTAGTATGTTGGGCCTTTCTTTTATATGTGGATTGCAATCTGAAGTTGTTCACTTTCAAGTTGAAGTATGCCTTGGTGCTTTTGGGTGGGCTATGTATTGTGATTTTCAACAGAGTACTGTTTTAATCAAATGAGTGATGTCATTGTTTAGTAGCCGGAAATTTGTTTGGGTAGTACTATATTTATATTTTACAAAGCACTAACAACGTAATTATGTATGGCACAATGAACCATAGTCCATATTTTTTATCGGTAAATTGTAAATATATAGATCAAAAATGGTGTTACAACGATCGTCGAATGGCAATTTAAAAGCAAGTGGGCAACAACCACAAGCTCGGTTCTTCACTCGCTAATCAAAATAATGAGAGGCAAACCATAAATCGGTTGCTCAGCTCAAACCAAATTGTGACCATATATCAAAACGTCTTTCCTCTCAAATCCCGTTTTCTTTTGGCTGCCAAGTTCGTAATGTGTTTAAGTCGTGCCCGTGCCTTAGAAATATTTGTTGCTATTTTATGTTGATTTTTTTCCCGATTGGAGCTCTTTGTTAAGCCGTGACCACGCTTTAGAAATATATGTCTCTGTTATGTGTGTTATGAACCATATTATTTACAATATATGTACATATAAAAAAAAAAAAAAAAAAAAAAAAGTGAGTTCGCGAGGAGGNCATAAGTAAATGAAACTAAAACATACAAAATTAGGTTCCTAAAATAAATTATTGAAGGACAAAAATGTGAAGAGGTCCTGGCAGGCCATACCTGAATTTAAGGGCGTTGCGCTCCAGTTCAAACAGTAAAGCAAACCAAATTCAGTCCTTTTTTTGTTTCCTCCACTCAATTTCAAGCGTATGTGCGTATCAGCGTATGTTGTAAGTTGTAACCACTCCCATCAATTCATCACCTTCAACCTATGCCTTAAACATTAAATGAATTAAAACCATTTACTTACGCAAATAAGTTGTACTTCCTGTCTACCTACCTAGCTGCATGCCTACAAGCTCCCAGCAACATGCCCAGTTTTAATCCGGTCCCCCAAAAAAGATTATAAAAAAAAAAAATTAAACAATTAAAGATTTATCTCATCTAGTAACTGATCATAAGTGATGGTTGTCAATACTAAGGCAAAAACTATAACACCATCCCATGCAGATGATCTACTTAGAGCAAAGAAATTATTTTTCTATATTTTATATTAATAGCTGGTTGGTATGAAAATTAGTAGGAGAAATTTTAAATTTATTGTAAGGGCATATAAAAAATAGTCACATTGAAATACAATCGATGAATAGTAGTCTTGTAATTATTAAAATGAATAATTAATCAATAATGCAATTGATGAATAAAATTCTTGTAATTATTAAAATTTAATCATTAATCTATATTATGCAAAGGGTTGGTTTTGTAAAAATAAGAACTACCTAAAAAATTCTTACTTTAAAATATTTTTAATGGCAAATTAGTTACTGGCATCCGAGTTGAATTATGAGGGACCCACGGAACGTGTCATTTCCTACTGAATGTTGTTAGTTTTTTTATTAAGTTTTGTCCCACATCGGATGTATACCAAAGATGTTTAGGATCTTATTAGTATAAATAGATCCTTTGCCTTTGGGTTACAATTGCACCTTATTCTATTCTCTCCTTTCTTGGTAGGAAATCCTTAATTAAGGAAATTTGTGGGTTATTTAACCCTAGTTTTATTTTGTTGGTGAGTTTCGTAAATTTGGCATTGCGGTTGGCGGTGCCCGGAGACGTAGGCTATTTTCGCCGAACTTCGTTATCAATTTTATTCTATTCTCCCCTTTCTTGGTAGGAAATCCTTAATTAAGGAAATCCTAACTTGTGGGTTATTTAACCCTAGTTTTATTTTGTTGGTGAGTTTAGTAAATTTGGCATTGCGGTTAGCGGTGCCCGGAGACGTAGGCTATTTTCGCCGAACTCCGTTATCAATTTTTGTGTCCTTTTTATTTTTTGTCTTGTATTAATTTGTGTTGGCTTATTTTCGTTTGGTGTAGTGCTTGCCATATTCGTTGGAGGGGTAGTTTTGTCCGTTGCATTTGGTGTTCCACCCCAACAAGTGGTATCAGAGCCGAAGGTTCGCCCTAGGCTTATTCGAAGAGGCGAGCACAGCATTCGAGTTCGAGATGTCCAAGGAGGTCAAGGACGCTCATCCTCTACATTCATTCCGGCAAGGACGTTGATGCCGAACGTCAGGCTCCCGGTGGAGATCTTCGATGGGACCGGGCATTTCAGCATGTGGCAAGGCGAGGTGCTGGATTGTCTATTTCAGCAAGGCGTCGACATTGCAATTGAAGAAGAGAAGCCAACTGACGTTGAAGAGAAGGACTGGAAGAATATCAACCGCTTAGCATGTAGAACAATTCGTTCGTGTTTGTCGATGGAGCAGAAGTACACGTTCAATAATGAGAATTCTGCTCACACTTTGTGGAAGACTTTGAAGGATAAATTTCTGAAGAAAAGCGGCCAGAATAAGCTCCTCATGAAGAAACGATTGTTCCGATTTAAGTACCGGCATGGCACATCGATGAATGACCACGTCACTGCATTCACTCAGTTGGTTGCAGATTTGTTGAATTTGGACGTCACATTCAACGATGAAGATTTGGCTCTAATGTTGTTATCATCACTTCCGGATGACTTCGAGCACTTGGAGACTACACTGCTACATGGGAAGGACGATGTAACTCTTGCAGTGGCCAGTTCTGCTCTGTATAGCTACGAGTTGAGGAAGAAGAACAAACAAGAGACGAAGAATGCAGCAGCAGAAGACGAAGCGTTGATTGTAAGAGGTCAGTCGAAGAGCCAAAAGAAGAATGGACGAGGAAGATCATGTTCCAAGGCCAAGCTTGAAAAAGACGAGTGTGCTTTCTGCCATGAGAAGGGACACTGGAAGAAGGACTGTCCTAAGTTGAAGAAGAAAGATAAATCTTCTCAAGATGTATATGTTGCTGAGGGTGGAAGTGAAGACTCAGAATTTTTACTTGTGGTTTCACCTTCATCATCTCATCCAGACGAATGAATTTTGGATTCAGGATGCACCTACCATGTGTCTCCCATAAGGGAGTGGTTCTTTGATTTTCAAGAGATCAATGGAGGAGTTGTCTACATGGATAATGATAATGCCTGTAAGACAACCAGGATGTGTTCAATCCGTTTGAAGGATCGCGATGGTTCCACTAGAGTATTGACGGATGTTCGGTATGTGGCGAGTTTGAAGAAAAATCTCATCTCATTAGGAGCCTTGGAATCAAAAGGCTTGGTAGTGACTTTGCGAGATAAAGTTATGAAGGCTACATCCGGCTCGCTCGTGGAGATGAAAGGCATCAGGAGGAATAACTTGTATTAGTATGAAGGTGATACAGTCGTTGGGACAGCAACAGTAGCAGATTCCACCAACAAGGAGTCTGAAGCAGTCAAGTTGTGGCATATGCGGTTGGGACATGCTGGTGAAAAATCCTTGCAGACATTGGCAAAACAAGGATTGTTGAAAAATGTGAAAGTGTGCAAATTAGACTTTTGTGAGCATTGTATTCGGGGAAAGCAGAAGAGAGTAAAGTTTGGACGGCTATCCATAATACAGAAGGTGTCTTGGATTATGTTCATTCGGATGTTTGGGGACCTTCTAAGACCCCATCATTAGGCGGAAGACTCTATTTTGTCACTTTCATCGATGACTTTTCCAGACGCATTTGGGTGTACACTATGAAGACGAAGGATGAAGTGCTTAGTGTCTTCATTACATGGAAGACGCAAATTGAGAATCAGACTGGAAGGAAGATCAAGGTCCTACGAACGGACAATGGTGGAGAATATACAAGTGATCCATTTCAAGAAGTTTGCTGTAAAAATGGCATTGTTAGGCACTTCACCGTTAGACGGACACCACAACAAAATGGGGTAGCGGAGCGCATGAATCGAACATTGGTGGAGAAAGTTCGATGTATGTTGTCCAATGCTGGTTTGGGCAAGGAGTACTGGACTGAGGCTGTAACATACGCGCAACACCTCATAAATCGTTTGCCGTCATCTGCAAAAGATGGTAAAACACCGTTGGAGGCACCGCCAGCAATTGCTTTGGATTGAAGAGTCGAAGTGGGAGCAAAATTAGTCAAGGTGGAGAATTGTTAGTTTTTTATTAAGTTTTGTCCCACATCGGATGTATACCAAAGATGTGTAGGATCTTATTAGTATAAATAGGTCCCTTGCCTTTGGGTTACAATTGCACCTTATTCTATTCTCTCCTTTCTTGGTAGGAAATCATTAATTAAGGAAATTCTAATTTATGGGTTATTTAACCCTAGTTGTATTTTGTTGGTGAGTTTAGTAAATTTGACATTGCGCTTGGCAGTGCCCGGAGACGTAGGCTATTTTCGCCGAACTCCGTTATCAATTTTTGTGTCCTTTTTATTTCTTGTCTTTTATTTATTTGTGTTGGCTTATTTTCGTTTGGAGTAGTGCTTGCCATATTCGTTGGAGGGATAGTTTTGTCTGTTGCGTTTGGTGTTCTACCCCAACAAATGCATAGTTTTTCTGTCGTAAATTGTATTTATTTTATTGATCAAAGGCATAGTCCTTTAGTCGTGATTTTTGAGACTAATTTTAAAATTTTCCCAAAATTAGTACGTACCCATGATGCCTGTACATTGATATAAAGTGTAATGAAAAAGTTTATGTAAGTACACATCATGGAAACCAATTCAAGTGAAGCAAAATACGTAGACAAGTATGTAGATGAAATGAAAAGAGAGAGATGAAATGAAAGTAGTGTTTGAAAGAGAAAGGAGGGGACAAGTGATGGATCGCTGTAGTAGGGGTCTGATTGTGAAGAAAGAAGGAACAGTATTCCAATAGCCTTTAGTTATATGGGGCATTTAATGAATGATGCATTTAATGAAACGATGCATGGCAATTGGCAAATGGCATAGCCATAGCATAGCTGATAGCCCCCGCCCCTTCTCTCCTTTAATTTTTCTCTCTTGCCATTTGTTTGACCCCAGCATAGTCTCCCAAATAAAATCTTGTCATAGTTAAAGATTTTTTTTTTTTTTTTTCGAAATATTATT